AATAAAAATGTATCTAAAGCAGAGTACATTGTTAGAGGTGGACTTAATGGTTAGAAAAGATACTGCTTGATGGTGGCCTTGTACTGCAGGGGACAGCCACAGCCTTGTTCCCTATAAACACTGACAGACTGGTTACTATTATTTACACAGACAGACCTGACCACTGTTACCTTTCTGCACGGACACACTGGCTGTGACAGCTTTCTACCTGGGTTTCCTTTCTACCCATCCTAAAGGTCACGAGGACAGCCTTGACAGGAACCTATGCCCTTTAAGAAGTTCTGGACATACTCACTGGAAAACTCACTCTGAGGAGCTGTTCCAGACCAGGACATGCTGCTCAAGGCTATGAACTCACCTCCCTCAGTCTCCGCATCCTTCCCAGCCACTGGTTACATGGGCCACACCCCCACATTGCAGCCACTGATGACACAGGCAGGCAAACCAAAGAAAGGCTCAGTGCGCATTCTGGGCTGAGTGGCTTCCGGCCAAACTGCAGCTTCTCCCAAGGTGAGAGCGGCACCGTAGCTCAAGAGCAGCGAGGAGAGGAGATCTGTGACAGCTATGGTGCCCTGGGCTCTAGGAGGGGAGGTCAGGCCAGTGTGAACAGGAACTCAGAAGAAGGCACAGCTGAGGAAGTAGCAACACTCCATTAAAAGAAACTTGTTTAAAATTTCTCCACATTATGCCAAAAAGTGACCCTGTACTAGTGCCACCCATAGAGTACTGGGACGCCAGGCTCGTACCAAAGCTGCCTTGCTCCTTGTCCACTGGAGGTCATGTCATGTGGGGCTACAGAAACTGGTATCATACCTGGCTGGCCTCCTGGGTACCAGTCCAGGCTTTGGGACCAGAGGCAGCATCACTCATCTGGCTTTCCCTATAGGGCACACCCTAAAAATAGGGGATGACTGAAACATAACAAGCAGACATAGAAAGCAGGCCATGTCTGTCTCCTGGCTTGAACAGTCAAACACTAACTGTCTTGTCACTTTTTGAGACAGGATCTCACCATGTAGCCCAGGCTGGCCTTAACTCAAGAGCCTCTTTCCTCCACTTCCAAAATGCTAGGATTGCAGGTGTGCGCCATGCCCAAGCATGCTGAAGATCACTGGGTAATTTAAGTACATTCTCAGCATTGGGTTATAGCAGGGAACTATCATTTTATACGATAATGAGTGTGTAGGCTCATGTAGAGTGTACCTTGTGTTTTAGAAATACTTTCAGAATTCTAAAGATATAATAAGCTTCTTTAAAATGCTACAGTCCCAATTGGAAAAGGCAAAGGACGGCAGTAAACACCTATAATCCCAACACCGAGGAGACTACAGCAAGAAGATCACAAGCCCAAGGCCTGCCCGGGCAGCTAAACAAGAGCGTGCCTCAGCATAAGCGGTAACAGCAGACTGGATAGAGCTGGTGGTAGGCAGAACTGCAAAGAGCCCAGGTTCAACACCCAACACTGTAGACAAACTAGAAGAAAAGAGACAGAGTAGGTGTGCCAGATACCAGCAATGCTGATGCGGGCGGGGACTGAAAGGGGAGACAAGGTTTATTATACTTCTTTTGGTTTTGAATATTTTGAAAACATCCCCCATGAAGGAATTATCTACAGAAAGTGAGGTTCCATTAGTAGAAATAAAAAAAAAACCAACAAAATTCACTTTATAGGGGGCCTAACAGATGATGGTGACAACAGACTTCACTGTGACTCTCTAAGGGAAGAGTGTGGAAAACTGACTTAGAGGAGGAGGTCCTTGCCTGTCTGAAGGGAACGACCCTTTCCATCAGCACTAGCTTTACCATGAAGTAGTCACCCAAGCCTGGTAGTAGAGTCAGCTCTACCTCTCCTATACTTGACCTGCTATGAGGGTGGGCTTGCTTAGAAAACAAATGAGTGTTGAGTTCAACCCTCAGCACCTCACAAACTGGATGTGTGATAGCAGGTACGCTTGTAATCCCAGTGTTCTAGATGTGGAGGTAGAGGGCCAAGATATCTTTGGCTAGATAGCCTTGGATACAGGGTCTCAGAAAATAAGACCAATCAGCCAGCCAAAAATCACGAATGACAACCTGGCTGCTTCACAGCATTAATGAGTGCACTGGGTAAGTGGCAATGAGGGAGCAGGGTTGTCTTCAGCAACCATGCGAATACTAAGGTTCAAGAACAGTTTAAAGATGATACATACTAGTTCTTCCCCAAACACAAATCCAAGGCTTACTCTGGGAATGAAACACTGGGAGAAGACCAGCTTCTGAAGCACTTCTGCTCTAAGCAGCACCCCACCTCTACGAAAAAAGGGGACAGAATAAACAATAACTAAACACACAGCAAGCACTGATTGACTGGACCAACAGAAGAGACTGCAGCTTACAAGTCTAAGGGAATTACAAAAATGAAAATTATGGCTGGGCAGAGTTTATGTTCCCAGCATTTGTGAGGTTGAGACAAATATATTGCTATGAGTTCAAGGCTAGCTTGGGCTACATGAGTTCTAGGTCAGCCTGGGCTACACAGTAAAACCTTGTCACAGAAACCAAAAGAAAAAAAAAAAAGGATACATTTAGCCACAACCACCTTGCTATAATCTGAACAATACAATAAGAAAAGACAGATGCCCACAGTGCCTCAAAGGCTAGCACTGTTATTCCATCCTAGCACAGAACCTGAATGGATGGTTAAAGTTCCCAGAGGAGGCTGGAGGTGGATCTCAGTGATGAGACACTTACCTAGCATGTTCAAGGACCTGGATTCACACCAGAAAAAATGATTTCCACAGGACATTTTGAGAAGAAAATGAAACTTGCAATGTGTATTGCACTGCTATATAAGATCACAAAGGACCACCACCAAACCAACCAAATGCACGATAACTCCTAGTCACCTGCGGGCCTGTGGACCAGGCACACATAACCGAGTCTGGCCAGGACAGATTAGGGTCAGCACTTATGAGATCCTGGCTCTCATGTCAGTGGCTTATCCTGTCTGTACCATGAACATCAGTTCTGTCCTTCAGAGTACTTTGGAACAGGGAGTCCTCCACATAACACCAATCAGGTCTACCTCAGCACATGCTCACTGGGCCCTTGCTGCTTTGGGGAAGGGCCATGTCTGCAACAATATCTACTGGAAATAGCTAGCGATGTATAATACAGACTCATGCAACCCAACATCACTCCTAGAGAGAGGATTCAAATTCTAGTACATCCTGAGGCATTTTTTATGTTCTAATCATTTTAAACAAACAACTGGCTATGTCACTAAAAGAAATGACTCTCCTGCACTAGCTCATGTTATGACCTTCAAAGCTCACTTGTGGATCTGGCTCTGCTCGGCCACAACCACAGCGCCTACTGCACCTGTACTTAAGATGAACAGAGGGAATCAAAGCAGCTCACACTTTCACAGGGGCTTTTAGACCAGTACCTCTGCAAGCCTGCTCTAAACACAGCATGGCTGGTGGCACCAGTGAAGTCCCAGGACCACCTCTGCATCCAGAAGGCTATAGTCTCCATTGTCCCTCCGGGGTTAGAATGCGTTCAAGGCATCCTGCAGAGATTTTATACACAGCGCTGGCTGCACAAACTAAACAAAACCTACATGCTAACTGGTCGTGGGAAGCATGGGTCATTTTAAAAGCAGCACCAAGGGGCATGACACACAATCTATTACAGACGAACAGAACCTGAACCGCATAATATTAAAAATGTATAGCACCAGTTTTTACTTGAATTCAAAGCAGGTGTCAAAAACGCCAATGCTGCAGAGGCCAATTCCTCAGTCACTACAGGGAATGGCTGAAAACGCTCCTCTAATTTAGAGTCACGTGTAAGTTTAACATCACTTCAAATCAAAGTTTTAGCTCCTTGACATTCAAAACCAAATAATCTACCTGTAATTAGAAACAACCCCTGACTATCTAGCATGAACTCATTCACCTTCTATGTCTGAGGCAAAGGATTCTGATTTCTAACTGTGCCCAGGGGGAGGGGTCTCTTTATAAGGAGACCTGAGGGTCAAGACGGGTTTTGATCTATCTGCTTTCCTGGAGTGGAAGTCTTTAAATTGGGCTGAAAACTGAAAGGGACTCTCTCCCCACCAGTCTGTGTAAAAGGGTTGCTGAAGAAGAGGCTCATGTCCAGGGGCGCCTCAGCCTCCGAGTCCCATGAGTCTGTGTCTGTGCTGCTCGAGTCTTCAGCGGTTGTGGGTGGGTAGCTGAGCTGCTCTAGCTGGTCTATAATGTCAGAGAACTGGAAGGCTGAGCTGGACTCGGAGCGCACTGAGTAGGCTGGGAAGTTGACCATGGAGCTGGCCTCAGACTGATTGGCTGAGCTGGATGTGTGCAGAGAGAGCCCACCATGCAGTGGTATGTTGTTGAGGGAGCTGTTATCAGACTGGTTGTTCCTAAGTGAGCTAGTTTCGGAAGGACTCAACAGGCTCTGCATCAGGCTAGCCTGTGCCTTCACCTCAAACAGCTCTGAGGTGTCTGAGGGATGGACATTGCCATTGAAGTCACTTCCTTCCCCAAATTCAAAATCATCTTCTACACTCATGTCCACTGCCTCAGTGGAGTATCTATCTGGGCTGGACTGGGCCGACGCTGGGTGCTGGAAGGAATCCAGACCACACAAGGCAGGGGACCCAGCGGACTGGACGGGTAACAGCGACTCCTGAAGGACTAAAGAACCGTACCGGAAAGAAAAGGCCTCGGAGCCTCCAGCAAAGAAGGAGATGTCTGCTGGGTCATCGTCGATGAACTCTTCAGACACCTGCAGCTGTGCGTTTGTCAATGTGAAAACAGGGGGCCCTCTGAGGCCACCCTGGGACTCCCCGCTGGGCAAGAAGGAGCCTGCAGAAAACTCATCCTCACTACTGTCCTTTCTGCCAAGAGCTTTCAGTCCCCTACTGGCCCTCCCTTTGTTTAGGTCTAAAGCACTGAGACTCTGTCCTCTGGGACAGGCAGAACCATGGCTGTTCACAACACCACAAAACCCGGCACCTGGACCAGGCTGGAGCACAGGGGGTCCAGGCAGATGGGCCGACTGCGTGCTGGGGCCTTCGGATGATGATGTTCTGCTGTTCCTCTCTGCTGCTGTGCTCTTGACGGAGGGAGCCTGGGGATCCAAAAGGGAGCTGCTGCTGTCCTTCACACTGAGCATACCAGAAGGGGACAGAGAGGAAGCAGGGAGTGCATAAAAGGAGGCATTTGCTGAAGACAGGGAGGCAGAAGCTCTCAGGCCATCGGTGAATGAGATGCTCTGGGGATCAAAATTAAGAGAAGAAAAGAAAAAAAAGGCACAAATAAAATTAAAAAAATGCTATTGCAAATTGTAAAGTCAATTGGGTCAACTTCCAACATCTATACATCCTTACAGTTTTCTTAAAAAGGGAAACGGAGCAGATCTGCCCCTTCACCAAGTGAGGATTTGCATTTTGTTTAGAGAAAGTCTCACCGTAGTCTTGGCTAGTCTCAGACTCGTGTCAATCTGTCTCCCAGGTACTGGGTATAGATGTGTGCCATGCCTGGCTTAGAAATGCACACTACTGCAAACTGACCTAAGGCCAGATGCTTATAAACTCCCTTTAATTCTGCCCCCCACTGTTGCGGCATGAAATGTCACAGTGAAGAAGAGAAGCATCACAGCAAACTAGGTGACAGGCAGACGAGGTTTTGTGGCAACCCTAGTTCTCCTACATTTATAGGCAGATACAATTGGGTGTTCACATCTCTGTTCAGCTAAAAGTGCCTTCCACTGTGCTGCTGACATCAGATGACAAGGACACAGTGACAGTCCTGGGCTCGAGTGTTAGAGATTCAGTATCACCTAGGAGGAGATACAAGTGTCAGCCCACTGGTGAGATGGGAGCTGAGAATCACTGACTAGGACGCCACCTGCCAGCATCAAGTGTAAGAGCCCTGGACATTCTGAAAATGCTACGGTGTCTCTAAGTATGAGTCAGGAGAGGTTTGCAGCAGGCTAGGGAAGGGAAGGAAGCACACCATGGTCCTCTCTACTCTAGGTGCCCTGGCCACAACCCACTCATGATGTGACATGCAAGGATGCCCCACTTCTCTACTTGTTAAGCATCACTCTTGTGTGTGCATTACTAAGATACAGTCATGCCTTGAAAAAACCCTTAGCTGGGCGGTGGTGGCACACACCTTTAATCCCAGCCCTCAGGAGGCAGAGGCAGATGAATCTCTGAGTTTGAGACCAGCCTGGTCTACAGAGAGAGTTCTAAGACAACCAGAGCTACACAAAGAAACCCTGTCACAGAACTGTATTTCCAGAGCAGTATGTCCATAAGCAATATCATTAGGTATCTACACACGGTAGCAAGAGAAGCAAGCAAGTGCTGTCCCAGGAGGCCCATAACCAGCCTTGTAGAAAAACACAGCTGGTCATAGTTTAAAAGGAATCTATTTCCAGTGGCTACCATAGTGCCTGCTTTTAGTTTAGTTTTGTGTTGTTTGCGGCAGTGTATTCTATGTAGCCTAGGCTGGCTTTGAACTCATAGCCTCCTGCTTCAGTGCTGAAATTATACATGTCATTCATCGTGCCTGCCATATTGCCTTTTATTAATCATTCAACCACATTTCTTTATTTTCTGTGGTTTTTAAAATAATCTAACGAAAGCTTAAATGTAATTTTTAGATATTTAACACCTAAAATTTAATTAAAAGATGGGGACTCTAAACATTAAGCTATAGGGTTCAAAAGAAGCTCTCGGAACCTGTGCTCAGAATAAATGATAGACTCTCAATAAAAATGGGCAACTATTGCTCAGAATGAACTACAAGCATGAAATCACAGTAGCACAAGGAAATAAATAATGGTACCCGAAAGCAGGACTGGTCATACAATCATGCGTGAGTGTGGGAGTTGATATAAAAGTGATAAAAGACTTGTTCTGAGGGAGACCCGGAACACAGATTAGTGGCATATGGCTCAGCATAGAGCCATGGAGCGGCTGATGTCTCATTGGTGACATCCCTGCCAAGTGTTCTTCCAGGAGGAACCTGCACATCTCTGTGTATCTCTGCTTTAATACGGCTGTAATCAGACCACACACACAGATGAAAAGCTGTTGAGTGTCAGCGGCAGGGATGTCTCTGTGCTCCATCTTCTTACAGAAGCCCACCACCCGGAGAGTCTACTGTATATTTAGGAAGTCACCCGCACAGCTGGCACTGGTTTAGGTTTCCTAGCAGACTGCTCAGGGCTATGATTCGCAGGGCAGAGCTCACGGCTGTCTCATCACCCGGGACTCACTCTGAAGTCAGAGTGTGCATTAAGTCACGTGAGCCTTCTTACAACACTGAAGATGACTGTCTAGAAGAGCATACCCTCGCAGTTAATACTGCTATGGTTTCAACCAAAGACTGACCTGTTTAGGCAGATCGACAGTCAGAGCATGAACGGACGTCCGAGTCTTACTGTGCCATCTGCAAAACAGAGACTATGCTGTGAGGCTCACACCCCCATCTCCTCATTATCCTTCTCACCGTGTGTTTCTAGATCGCATGTCTGTATTGTATCCGTGAAGAAAGCTCACATAAGAACATGACCAAGACAGGGTGGCAAGCTAGAAACTGGCAGAATAAAAGGAGTAAGTAAAACTAAAAAAGAAACTCAAAGGGGACAAAATTATATATGCATACTTATGAAAACTTTCCACAGGAGTTTTGAGGTTGCTTACCATACTATCAAGGTTAGTGTTAGCTGCCAACATGACAGGATCTGGGATCACTTAGGGGGACAAGCCTCTGAGGTCAGTTAGCTCTGGGGTATGCCTTGAGAATTATGCTGATAATGTTAACTTCCCACTGTGAACGGCCTTCCTCGCTGGGAGAGGAGTGAACTGAGCAAAGCCATCCCGCATCCTCCTCCTGGCTGTGGCAGCACTGGCACCAAGTGCTTTGAGCCTGCTGCTTCCATCTCTCCACTATGACCGACTGCCACCTGGAACTGAGAACCAGAACAAGCCCCTCCTCCCTCCCTTACTCCTGTCCAGTGTTTATCACAGTGACAGGAGAAGGAACTAAGACACCACGGGGAAAAGTCATAAACAAAATGAGCTATGCAGTTTACAAACTATACTTCATACTAAGTATGAATGCAATTATCTCCATGAAGACATTACAAACCTTATTAAATTCTTTAAAAAGAATAAAAAGCAAAAACAAAATCAAAAAACCTGCATTTAAATACATGTTTATACCTTTAAAATGCCATTTATCCAAGTAAATATTTAAAATAACTGAACATGGTGGCACTTGCCTCTAATCCTAGCACTCAGGAAAACATAATCAGTAGTATTTCTGTGAGTTCCAGGCCAGCCCAGGCTACACAGCGAGACCCTATTTCTTAAAGGAGAGAAAGGGCTAGAGAGAAGGCTCAGTGGTTAAGAGCACTGGCTACTTTTCCAGAGGACATGAGTTCAAGTCCAACCATCCACCTGGCATCTTGCAACCATCTACAATTCTAGCCCCAGGGGGTCTGGCACCCTCTTCTGGCCTCTGAAAGCCTGGAGGCATGTGATGCACAGACATGACAGCAAGCAAAACACCCACACACATAAAATATTTTAAAATAGCAAATTTAAAGACATAGACTTTATATGATAAACACCACAGTTTACCTTTCATATGGAATTCTCTTCATCCCACCGTCTTTGACATAATCTACTAGTTGTTTCTGAGTTCTTCCACTACAAATAAAGGCTCAGTTAAAAACAAAACAGTAATTCACAGTATGACCTTTACAGTTAAGAGCAGAAGTAAGACTGTCCATCCTCTCCCAGACACATGTATAAATAACTCAAAATTACACTCTATAATAAGCATAGACAATTTTCTAGGCAGTTTTTAAGCCTATTCTCTCATACTTTTTGTTTTGTTTTGTTTTGCAACAGGGTTTCTCTGTGTAGCTTTGGAGCCTGTCCTGGAACTCACTCTGTAGCCCAGGTTGGCCTTGACCTCACAGAGATCCACCTGCCTCTGCCTCCAGAGTGCTGGGATTAAAGGCGTGTGCCACTACCACGTGGCTCCTATTTTCTCATACTTTTAATATTTGATTTTTCTCTATGTATTGTCCTTCACAAAACTACTCCTAGATGCAATTATCTGCCCAGCCTATGACACCTCCCTCTCCCCAACAGTCAGCTATACCTACAGCTGAGGTTAGCCCTACCTGTATCTGAAGGAGGAGCCCCGGCTGAAGAAGACAGCTTTTGCCTTTGGTTTAGGCTGGTCAGAAAGCCTAAAAAAGGTATGGTACTCCACACATATCTTCCAGAAGTTCTTACATTCATCTCTGCTACCCAACAAGAATTCTAATGTGTCCTGGTAGGGTCCCTAAAAATAACATACAAAGGTTCAAGAAGCAAACACAACAATAAAGTTCTGGAGAACAGAAAGCAGATCCTATCACAGGTAGTTTCAAAATTTAAAATTAGAGCCAGGCATGGTGGCACATGCCTTTGATAACTACAAGTCACAGTTTTAAGGCTCACATATATCAACATGAAGAAACCATTGCTGTCTGACTCTTTGATTTCTTTAGGTACCTAGAAATGAAATTCTGAGCTCTTAGACCGCATACATCTTTAATCTTATGATATATTTACCAAATCACTTTATACAACTGTTAATATTTCGATCCTTCTACTTAGTCTTAGAAACTAGGTGGCTGGGTGGTGGTGGTGCACACCTTTAGTCCCAGCACTTGGGAGGCAGAGTTAGGCAGATCTCTGTGAGTTTAAGGTCAGCCTAGTCTCAAAGCAAGTTCCAGAACAGTCAGAGCTGTTTACACAGAGAAACTCTATCTTGAACCTCCCTCAAAATAAGAAAGAAAAAGAAAAAGAAAAAAAATCTATGTGTTTAGGAATTTAAATGCAACTTTCTCAAGAAAACCAAACAAACAAAACCCAAAAAACCCTAGGTGTTTAGGTATTTAAATGTAACTTTAAAACATGCCATTCCAATAGTTACTTTTGTAAACTGAGCAGTGTAGCAAGCTTTCTTTTGGGTTACCAACTAGCTCCCAAATCACGGCACAGAGATTTATTATTAGTTATGACTGTACAGCCTTATCTTATGATTGTCCCACTAGCTCTTATAACTTAAATTAGCCTGTTTCTCTCATCTACGTTTTGCCTTGGGGCTTTTTTACCTTCTTTCATTCCGTATGTCCTACTCTGTGTCTGGCTGGTGGCTGCCTGACTAGCCTTGGGCATCTCTTTCTCCTTCATTCTCTTTCTTGTTCTCTGCTTTCCTCTTATTTATTCTCTCTGCCTGCCTGCCCTGTCTATCCCTCTATTGCCTAGCTACTGGCTGATCAGCTTTTTATTAGACTAATCAGGTGCCTCTGGCAGGCAAAGTGAAACAGCAACACATCTTTACATGATTATACAAATGCAGCATAAACAAAAGCAACACACCTGTACATAATTAGACAAATGCGGCAGGAACAACCTTTTAACTTTAACTTTTACAGTTAAAGCAATATTCCACAACACAGCAGTATTTCTATTCTACCTTTCCAGAATAACTCTAAACACATTTTACTCAGAGAAAAGGGAAACCTTTGGTTTGCATCTTTTTATCCATGGAGAGCAGAGTACTATTTAAATAATAAACAGCGGAACCCCTTTCTTTTGACTGGGTCTGTGGCATGGGGATATAACCAAAGCACTTAGGAGTCTGGGGCACACTGTCTCATAAAACCCCAAACCAAACCAAATAACAAGAAAACAACCAAACTGCCAAACAAACACAAAGACACATGCAGACACACAGACACATGCTCCAAGTCTCCACTGAAACCAGTGCTGGCCCATACTGCACATGAACATGGACAAAAGCCCCATGTGTTTCTCAGAGGTTTAGACAGAGACACCCTTCTGACTGGTTCAAGGGCCCAGATGCTGCTGGGACAGGAAACACCCTGAACCCCATCCAGGTTGCATCTCAAGCTTCAGCCATGCAACCTACTGTTTTCTAACTTCCTTTGGACAAAGAAGATACATTTGAAAACTTAACTACTTGAAGTATTGAATTTTACCAATGATCACATAACACAGTTCCCTTTTCTATTTCTAATCATTCGATGAATTGTGGTTATTAGCTTGCCAGCTGTTATTGATTGAAATCTCTGGGGGGGAAAGGGGGGAGGGTGTTTCTAGACTAGATCTTGCTATATAAACCAGGCTGGTCTCAAACTTTATAATTCTCCTTTCCCATCTCCTGAGTGTTGGGATTAAAAGGAGTTCCTTTGTTTTTGTTTTCTTTTTTTTTTTTTTCAAGACAAGGTTTCTCTGTAGCTTTGGTGCCTGTCCTGGAACTAACTCTTGTAGACCAGGCTGGCCTCGAACTCACAGAGATCCACCTGCCTCTGCCTCCTGAGTGCTGGGATTAAAGACATGTGCCACCACCACCTGGATTAAAAGGAGTTCTTATTATTTCTTGATAATCAAGGATTATTCAACCAGATCAAGTAAGGGGTCAAGTTTTGGGGATTATTTATTTAATGTGTCTGTGTTATGTACCTGCTTGTATGCCTGTGGACCATGTGTGTGGATCATGTGTGGACATGCCTGTGGAGGTCAGAAAAATGGTTGGACCCCCTCAATCTGGAACTACAGACAGTATTGAGGCCCGATGTGGTTGCTGGGAACTGTGCCTGGTCCTCTGCAAGTGCAGTGAGTGCTCTTAACTGCTGATCCATCTCTCTGGCCCCCAAGATCATTAAAAGCACCTGGGAAGACAGGGGAGGCCCCTTAGCTCTGTCTAGCAGAAGTCCTCACTGTACATTGCTGATAGGCTCAAATTACTCTCAACATGTCTTCCTAGGCCAAAAATAAACTGGAAACCTTCAAGGTAGGAACTGATAAGTTCCTCAGAGGGGCAATGTGGGCATGCTCGGCACTCATCCCCATTTTGACTCTAATCCCAAGTCCCAACTTTAAATTATTAAATACCTGATCCTGAACTGATTTATAAAGTAGGGTTTTTAGAGACAGGGTTTCTAGCCCAGGCTGGGCTCCAATTCCTTAAGTAGCCAGGGATGACCCTGAACTTCTGATCTTCCTGTCTCTGACATTACACATGTGTTTCCTCAATTTTATTTCTTTTTTTTTTAAATATTTATTTATTATGTATACAATATTCTGTCTGTGTGTATGCCTGCAGGCCAGAAGAGGGTATTACAGATGGTCATGAGCCACCATGTGGTTGCTGGGAATTGAACTCAGGACCTTTGGAAGAGCAGGCAATGCTCTTAACCTCTGAGCCATCTCTCCAGCCCCTCAATTTTATTTCAAATGCTTAAAAAAACTTTTAATAATCTGTAGGATTAAATTGCCTAATAATATTAAAAGTTCTAAGATAATACTCACATGGACCTCTGGGTGGAGTTTGATGAGAAACCTTTTCCTCTTGAAGCTTAGCTTCCGGACCTTGGACCAGTTGAAAGTGTTGATTTTGGTGGTTCCCTGAAACATCAGAGACAGACACACATGTAACTTGTACTGTAGGCACACACACCTTTTCCACAGAGAGCAGGCTCTGCTGGAGCCACATCCTTGATAGGCAGCAGAGCGGACCAAGCACACATCCTCATTTCTCCTAGAGCAGCTCTGAGTCAAAATGCCAACACCAAATCTATTATCTGTTTTGTACTGGGGATTTCAGTCTCTTAGATACAGCTTCATTACAAATTTTAAAAAACAACGGTAACACCACACATTTTGAAGTAGTCCTAACAAAAGGAAGTGTCTGGAAGAGGCAGTGGTGTTGACCAGGCTGGTAGGGTTTCTTTCTAGGGAAAGGCAGGAAGATGATCCTAGACTGCACTGTAGTTAAAGAAAACTTCTGGTTTCCACATCTGTTGATGGACAGATACAAAAACAAATATAGGCATGTGCCCAGTGCACACATATGTAGCTTTCAGAGGGCTTAGAAATGACTCCCTAAAAAGCAATGGGCAGACCTGCTGCCCAGATTTTGGTTTCTTTAATTTTTTTTTTAAACTAGGGTCATCAGGTTTGGTAGTAGGGGCCTTTATTAGCCGAGTCATTTTTCAAACCTAATCCTATTTCTAAATTTGTAACTGTTGTTCTACCTTTGTTTTTCTCTACCATTCTGATTTGTTTTTAGGGACTGATGTTTACTCTGTGACAGTAACAAACGGACAAGGCTCAGAGCCTGAAGCAGCAGTGAGTTCACAGCAAAACCTCCCTCTCCCTCTTGACTGAAGGCCTGTCACTGCAGCCACCCTCTGGAGGACAGTAAAAACACCAGTTTAATTTGTACGGAACAGTGTGTGTGCGTATGCACAGGTGCATACATGTCATGGAACATGTGTTGAGGTCAGAGGACAAGTTGTAGAAGTCAGTTCTTTTCTTCCATGTGGGTTCTTGGTGTAAGAGGTCCTTCTGTGTTTATGTGTTGCTTTCATTGGTTGATGAATAAAGAAACTGCCTTGGTCTTTTGAAAGGGGAGAACTTAGGTGGGGGGTGGAACAGAACTGAATGCTAGGAGGAAGACGGGCAGAGTTACAGAAGCCATAGATCCTCCGCCTGAGACAAACGCCGGTTAGAATCTCCGGTAAGCCACTGCCACATGGTGATACACAGATTAATGGAGATGGGTTAAACTAATATGTAAGAGTTAGCCAATAAGAAGTTAGAGCTAATGGCCAAGCAGTGTTTTAATTAATACAGTTTCTGTGTGGTTATTTTGGCTGTAAGTTAGCCGGGCAGCCAGGACAAACAAGCAACAATTGGTGCTCCAATAAAACCTGAGAGAGCTTGAAAAAGAAATTCGAGAGAGAGAGAGAGAGAGAGAGAGAGAGAGAGAGAGAGAGAGAATTAGAGAGAGTTTAACACTGCTTGCAATTTGCTGGTGGCATGCTGCAGCTACTTTGAGGTTTTCCTGACTCAGCAGCAGTAACAGGAAAAAAAGCCGCACCAATTTAAAATGCAGCTTCCTGGGATGTGCTGCCAGCTATGAAGCATTTTGATTCCATTTGTGGGCCCAGGTGTTTGTGTGTCCACCAGTGTTGGTAGGAAAGTCGCTGAGACCATGCCCATGGCTCAGCACTCCCCGTTTGGGCAGGCAGCTGGATCAGGTCTACTAGAGTGCACAAGCAGGAGAGCATGGTAGATTCCCACTGCCATGCACAGAGATATTTCCAGGCTGCACAGTGCTCTGCATGGCAGATTTGGCTGTTACTCAGATAAAAAGAGTTTACCTGCTGCACACTCATTCTCGAGGTTGGACTGCTGAGTGCGGCTCCTGCCTGGTGGCCCCAGAGCTAACACTGGTGGTGCTTCCACCATTTTAAAATTGGAGATAGGCAGAGCCAGCATCCAGAGCAGCTGCAACCAAGCTGCTTAGCATTTTAAAAACTCTACAAGACAGTAAAGAATTACAGATAATGCAATAAGGACAGATTGAGACATAAAAAAGAACTTTATATGGGTCACAGTGTTAGATAAATGTTCACAGGGTTGGGAGAGAGAAGAAAAAGAGTATAGAAAGTCATAAAATAAAGTTAATACTTAAAAAAGGGTAAAGTCTTTAAAGAGACAGAGTACAGATAGTCATAGATTAAAAGGAGTAAAAAATAAGCCATGTAAAATGGAAAATTTACAGAGTCTGGATTATGTGTATTATTGTATTTTCTTTGAATTCTTTGACTGCGAAGGAGCTAAGTACAGAGAAACGTTTCATTGTACAGGCTGCTAAGCTAAACCAGCATATATGTTCTAAAGATATTGTTACTTCCAAATTTGAGTCTAAGGATAAACTGCTTTGGAAAAGAGGTTCTTCTTTTGTTTTCACAGAAGATGAGAACCTGTGGATTGCCTCCAGGCAAATAAGGTTTCATGGACCAAGGCCTCCTGAAAGATTGCCATAAACATCCTCAGAAAATTACTTTGTCCAACTTCTGACGGAAATGACCTAGCACACAAGATACATCATGAAAGACCTGATTAACAGTGTCCCCCCCCCCCAGTCAGCAGGATGGACAGAACTGCACCCATAGTCCAAATATTGTCTATGTTTATTTACATTTAAAGGGAGATATGATATAGGTATGAATAATTTGCATTGGTATGGATCTTGGTTTATTGATACAAATTTAAGGTCAATTTTGTTATATGTATATTTCTGCTCTTGATTAAGGTATTGTGATCGTATAGTTCATTTAAAAATGTAACGTATAATTAAGAAATATAGGTTAATAGAGAATCTATAATAGTCAAGTTTGTAGTTATGTTAGATTTTCTAGATGTATAGAGATATACTTAAGTTAGATAGGTATTCTTCAAATCTTTATGGCATTTAAAATGTTTTTAATAACTTAGGACTTTTCATGACAATGAGACACATCTGCTCCTAGCAGCACCAAGCTATTTCAAGAGGAAGATGTGCACTGATGACACTTCTTATGGAGTTGGTTAGCCATTTGGGCAAGAAATTGCTCTTGCCTGGGCTGTTTCATGGTATGCTGTAAAAACTGGACATGTAGAACCTACAGAGAAATGACTGCTGAACTTGACTAAAGGTGAGATGATCCTTTGGGGTTCCTGCTTCATGAAAGAGTCTGTGAGACATTCTGCAGGACACAGAAGAAAATGACTGAACTGTCTTTGAAATTTCCTGCTTTGTAGGAAAGTCTGCTGGATACTATGTGCCTGTAGGCTGAAGACGGATGCTCCAATGATAGAGAAGAACTTGGGTTGACTGTCCAGGCAGCAAGATGTTTCTGTCGATTCTAGAGTTTTGGAAGTTGCTTACAATGCACTTCCAGTTTACTTAGGTAATATATCCTGGAGTCTTTGATGGAGTTGGAGAATAGATGGTTATCATTATAGCTTTCCTCAGTTATGAAAAGATAAAATATGTATAAATATTGTAACTGTAGCTTTTACTTGATACCTGTTTTGTTATATGTAATTTTAATATTTTTTGTTTAAACAGAAAAGGGGAAATGGTATAGGAGGTCCTTCTGTTTATATGTTGCTTTCATTTGTTGATGATAAAGAAACTGCCTTGGCCTTTTGATAGGGCAGAACAGGTTCTGAGGATCAAACTCACGTCATTAGGTTTGGCAGCAAGCAAACTCACCCAAGGAGCCAGTATGCTGCCATTTTTTTTTTTTTTTTTTTGAGGCTCGTTTTGCTGCCCAGGCCGGCCTTGAACTTGTGATCCCAGCTCAGCTCCCTGACAGCTGGGATTGCAGTATTAAGGTATCAGTGGTAAATGCACTGTGGCTATGTAAAAGAGCACCTTGTCCATAAGAAATGCATATAAAGGTCTGAAGGGTCAGGATGTATATACACTTATTCTCACAAGACACTGTGTGGCAGAAGCCGGGACCGAGCGCTCCACAGTGTTGAGAAAGGATAGACCCAGGGGTTCTCTGTGCCGCCCTAGTACTCAGCTTTCCAGAGAGGCTTCCACACCAGTGGTCTGTTGCAGATACCACCATCAGCACCTTTGGTGCTAGACAATCAGGCTTTTCAAAGAAGCCTCCAATTTCCTGTCAATCTGGCCAGTGTTCCTGGGAGCTGACACACGGAGGGACCGTGTTACCTTCTAACTGCAGGTTTCTTGTGAGTCTACATTTTCAGGGAGGTACCTTGATTCTAACCACGGAGGGGGACTCTTCCAGTAGCACAGGGAATGTACACCGTGTCTGCTAGCGGGCTGCGACAGCTTGTCATACAAGCAAATCAGGCCTTCCTTCTGTTTTCAGGCTCACTGTGTCTAACTCTGAGCTTCTTTGTCATCAAAACCTCTTGTAGCCAGCAAAGTTCTTACCCCCGGAATGTCCACAGCTCCCCCAACCCCAGAAAAGATCCTGATTCCTAGTTTAGGATCCTAAGGATCACTCTGGTTCAACATCAGAATGAATAACAGAGCACATATTTTGGGCAGTGGTCAGCCCTGGTGGTAGTGGGGATGGTGAGTTCCAGGGCAGTGATCAGGGTTTTATGTGAGAGAAGGACAAGAAAGCGGTGTTGGCCAGGTTGGCAGGCAGGGTCAGATGATGTGCTAAGTTTCTCTTCCACACATAGCACTCACTCTCATCACAACAAAAATCCACCAACAAATACACAACAACAAACCATGCCCACTCATTGTGCACCAGGACTCAGGCCTGCTCTGCCCCTCCCTGTCCTTCCACCTACCTGGAACACGAGGACGCCCATGTGAGAAACTGCCAGGTTAATCTTGGTCCCTTCTCTATCAGAAGCCATGTGAAACCTGATGCCATACATTTCCAATTTTCTTGCAATTTCTAGCACCTGAAAATCTGATTCAGCAGGCGTTTGGCCCCTATAACAAAGAACATTTTAACATATCAAAGACTTGTCTTCTAAAGGAGTCAAAGCATATAAGAACTGGGTCAGAAAAACAATGAGATAAAGCCAGGCAACAAGTCAGTGTGGAAGGTTTTGTTTTCAGAGGGAATATGGCTCACTTCTATGTATTTACCCACTACAAACTAATACACCATATAGAGAAACCAAGGAAATAGGCTCCTTCTATGTTAGTCTTCTATCTTCCTATTCTCATCTACTTGTAAAAGACTGTTGCATTCAAATTCACTAAGTGACCAGATTTACCACTTACCTGAAGTTATGTGCAAACAACATATCTAGCCACCAAAAAGTGAGCTGAAGGAAATGGCCTAAATGATACTGTCACAAAACAACTGAATTTATGGAGTGGTGGTGGCACATGCCTTTAATCCCAGCACTTGGAAGGTAAGGCAGGCATATCTCTGTGAGTCCAAGGCCAGCCTGGGTTACAGAGAGAGCTCCAGGACATCTAGGGCTGCACAGAGAAACCCTACCTTGGGAAAACGGTAACAACAAAAGTAATTGGATCTACCCGCATACAGGTAGTTCACAGACCAGGTTACAACACTAGAACACAGAAGTGAATCTGGCCAGCATCCTAGTAAGCAGCCTTCAGGAAAGTGATGCTCACATGAACTCACAGCTGGGTAACTACACTACCCCCCTCCCCGACCAACTTACGTGTGCCTCTGATGGAAGTCTAGTATCTTTTCCAGGGATTGTTCCTGATTGGGTAAGTACTCATTGGCTTTGAGGTGTTCTCGATCCAAGGCTTCATCATAATCTCCTATCTCCGCTGAGATGAGACAATGAAAGTCAGCCACTTAAGATTTTGGAATAAATGATAAGCACTGAGCATGCAAATGCTTTATATTTTATCTTTCTAAATATTATGCTGTTCATAGGTAAACACAGAAAAGATATAGTGATTTTTCCCCTGAAGACCAAAATTTCTGATTAGAGTTTATAGTGAATCCTGAGTATAAAGACCATTTTTTATTTTACTTTAAAAAGATTTTTAAAAGTTTATGTGTATGAGTGTTTTGCCTGCATATGAATATAGCATGTATATGTATCATGTGCATATACCATGTGCATACAGAGCTTGAGGAGGCCAGAAGAAAGCATGTACTCCTGGAACTAAAGTTGTAGATGGTTATGAGACACCGTGTGGGTGCCGAGAACAGAACCCGAGACCTCTGCATGAGCAGCAAGTGCTCTTAACCTTTGAGTCATCTCTCTAGCCCTTGCTTACTTTTTTTTTTTTTTTTTTGAGACAGGGTTTCTCTGTGTAGCCCTGGCCGTCCTAGAACTTACTCTGTAGACCAGGCTGCCCTCAAACTCAGAGATTTGCCTGCCTTTGCTATTCAAGTGCTGGAATTAAAGGCATGCGTCACCACTGCCTGGCTTCTGTTTTTAAAAATCAGCTTATACATGTTATTGTCTCATGAATACTATAACCACAATAATCCTTTTCCTTTAGAAAAATGCATGCTAAATCATTTTTCCCTTCAGGAGTTTTCAAATTTTCAAAAATATTCTAAATTTATGAATTTTAAAAAGTATTTATTTTTATTGTACATGTTTTGCCTGTACATAGTAAGTGCACCATGACATGGCCTCACCTTTAGTCGAAACAATGTGGGTCCTTCTCTTTCTATTCCTATGGCTTCCTAAATCCTGAAAAACACACAGCCGTGTCTTTGAATCTCTTGCTACACTTCTCACACTTTATTTCTGAAGTAAGTTTAGTTTTATATCCTTCTCTATCACCTTTTGTTTCATGGAAGACATTAAAAGAAAGTGTTCTCTTCCCTTTAGTGTTAATGTTTAAAGACAGCGAGGACTGTAACTCACCCTCGGGAGGCCCCTTTCTGGGTGCACTGAGAAGCTGATTTATGCAGGATTCAGAATATGTACTGCTGTTGAATTAGGTAAAGGTAGATGGGGCATGGAGACAGAGGTCGGTCTGGGGGTGCACAAATTAAGGCTGGTCCAGTTGTTTAAAAATATAAATAACAACAACAACAAAACATCCAAGAGCTGGTTCTGTGGTTTAGTGGCTGAGTGTTTGCCTAGCATGTGGAAAGCTCAGTGTTCTTTTTCAGCATGGGAAGGGGAAAGAGGAAGCATGAAGACATAAATGGAAGACAACGCTAAAGAATGAATGTAACTACAATTCTAGCTTTGAGTATATATGCAGAGCTATTTGCCTCAAGGAGTGGCACATTAAAGAAGTTAGCTTTCATCTTATCAAGAATATTTCTAAATAGAAATGTACATTTTAAAAAAAAAAAACAAAAACCAGGCTTGTCAGTTACACATGAGCACCAGCCAACTAAGGGCAGCTCTGGTGGTGCCTGCCCACGCGTCTTCCCACAGTGGAGATACTAACACTGCAGAAGATGGGATATGAGAAGGGCTGCAGTGGTGGCAGCGCAGGGCAAGCGTTCTTCCAGGAGGTCTCTCTTGAGCTGCAAGGCAAACAGGTACCTAGAAAGGAATTCAAAGCAAGAGATCAACTCCAAAAGTTCTCTGAACACAATACAGCCACGCCTCTCTAAGAGAGCACACAGCTCTGGGGAGTAGCACTCAACACTGAACAAACTGTAGAGCCCTCCAAGAACATGCCAAGTCACAAAAGCCCTTTCAGATAGCAAGCAGACACCAAAGGTCAGACAACAAGAGCTCAGCAGGCTGTCGTGCACGTCAGAGCACACACCAAGGACTCAGCATACAGAGGAGCTTCTGTCCAACAGCAGGACAGAGAAACTAGTCTTTCAGGCTACCACACTCTCTAAGATAATACCTTCAACAAGGAAGTTCATAAATTCATACAACAAAACAGCACTCAACAGACTTGGAAGGAAGAACAGAAGTACACAGTTAAGACAGCTTCAAATGTGCCATGGTTCTTTTAAGCAAATTGGTAATACTCAGTCTTGGTGCGGATCTAAGAAACAAGTGCTTTAAGATACCACTGGTGAAAATGTAGACAGAGAAGACAACTTGGAAGCATTTTTGAGGCAAATTGTGTGGTAGCAACACTTTTAATCCCGGCACTCGGGAGGCAGAGGCAGGTGGTCTCTGTGAGTTCAAGGCCAGTCTAGTCAACACAGTGAGTTCCAGGAAAGCCAGAACAACCTAATAGTCAGACCCAGTCTCTAAGTAAATAAATAAATAAATTAGGTAGGTAGGCAGGCAGGCAGGCAGAAGAAAAGAAAATATTTATATTATTATTTAATTTAATCCTTTAATAAGCGATGAGTAAGAGGGTTTTTTTTTTTTTTTTTGACTTTTCAAGACAGGGTTTCTCTGTGGCTTTTTAAGCCTGTCCTGGAACTAGCTCTTGTAGACCAGGCTGGCCTTGAACTCAGAGAGATCCACCTGCCTCAGCCTCCCGAGTGCTAGGATTAAAGGCATGCACCACCACCACCTCCCAGCCTAAGAGTTCTTTCTAAGTATTGTTCTAGGAGTTGCAAAACTTGGTAAATAACCCAAACTCCCTGTCTTCACAGAAATTTACACTTTGATACAAACTATTAAAATTTTACTAGATTTGGGAATGGAGAGCTGACTCAGCAATTAAGAGCACTGGCTGTTCTTCTGGAAGACCAGGGTTCAACTCCCAGCATCCACATGGTGTCTCCACAACTGTTCTGTAACTCCAGTTCAGAGAATTTGATGGCTAGGTGGTTATCAGGCACACGTGGTACACAGAAACTCATGCAGGCAAAACACACGTGTGAAAAAAAATGATACATTCTCTCTTTTTGAAAAATGAAATGGAATGCTTCATGAACCTACATGTGGTTCTTGTGTAGATGCCATGCTAATCCCTGTGTCCTTCCAATTTTAGCATACGTGCAGCTGACAGGCGCACCTGCACGCTCCTAGAACTTAAGGTGTGTGTGTTTTTTAACCAGGCGGTTCCAGGCTAACAGTTTCCCCACAGCAGCACTCCCAGCATTCACAAAGGCATGCCAACAATGATGCTTATTTGTGACATTTTAACAGAAAACTGGGAATAAGCCCCAAATGCACTAAGATGCTAATGACTAAATAAATTAGGGCCGGTCCACATGCAGTGTGAAAGGCCATGGACTGCTAAAAATGGGGGCAGTTCCAACTGAGAGTTCACACGTGTCACTTGGCCGCGCTCTACAGCCTAACTTTCTTAAGGCTCTGCGTGTTCATGGAAAGGCTGCAACCCTCACGAAGACTTCTGCCAGTGTTAGCACTTACCTAAGGAGTGGAGTGCGAGGGTGAGCAAGGAGAAAAGAACACTGGTTTTTTATTTTACGTAAGTTTATTTGAAATTTTCTTTTTGCCATAGTTATACATTTTAATAAATTAAAGGGGAAAAAGACCTTCTGAATGAAAATAAGAGGAGAATAACTGGCTTCCTCGGGCTGGGATGTTGTAGCGTGCTCACCAAGTGCCTGAAGCCCTGGGATCCATTCCTAGCAACATTTAGACATGCTGTCGTGGCCAAAGCCTAGAGTCCTAACACTCAGGAAATGGAGACAGAGGGTCATTCTCAGTCACACAGTGAGTTAAAGGTCAGTTTTAGTCATAAGAACCTTTTTCAACAACAAAACAAAAACAAACAAAATCAGAATGCCCCAACCAACCTGAACCTAATACTCCAACACAGGATCCTGAATCAGAGAGTATTTTGTTTAATTTGTGAGAATATGATTTTAAAATGATTCCCCTTCAAAAAGGGGTGCTTCTTAGACTTCAAAAAATTGCCAAGGGCTGGAGAGGTGGCTCAGCAGTTAAGAGCACTGACTGCTTTTCCAGACATCCTGAGTTCAATTCCCAGCAACCACATGATAGCTCACAACCATGTGTAATGAGATCTGATGCCCTCTTCTGGCATGCAGGCAGAACAATGTATTCATAATAAATAAACTTTTTGCTGAGCGGTGGTGGTGCATGCCTTTAATCCCAGCACTCAGGAGGCAGAGGCAGGCAGATCTCTGTGAGTTGGAGGTCAGCCTGGTCTACAAGAGCTAGTTCCAGGACAGGCTCCAAAGCTACAGAGAGACCCTGGCTTGAAAAACCAAAAAAGAAAAAAAAAAAAAGCCAAGGTATGCTTTCTGTGTGCACTCACGGTGGCACTGCTTTCTGTGTGCACTCACGGTAGCACTGCTCTGCTGTCTACAGTTTGGTCTCCTCATCAACCTGAGACCAAGAGGCTGAGCTGATGCTGTGTCCTCCTCTCCTTGCACCTGACATTCTGTGCGTTTCTGGTGTCCCATGACCTACAGAGCCTTTAAGAAGGGTTCACTGTGACTCATTTACCATCCTGGTGCAGTCAGGACTTAAGAGTCACTTGGGGGGACACTATGATAGTATCCTATTCTCTTTCATCTGCATCTACTCAGGGTCTTGAGCCCATTTTATTTTTATTTTATTTCAGTTTTTCAAGATATGGTTTCTCTGTGTAGCCCTGACTGTCCTGTAACTCACTCTGTAAGACCAGGGCACTGGCCTCAGACTCAGGAATCTGCCTGTCTCTGCTAGGATTAAAGGTGTGCATCATCATGCAGCTTGAACCTATTTTAAAGTTATTGTTTTATTTCTGATTATAAATCAATATGCATAAGCATAAAAAGTACAGAAAAGATTTCCTAATCTTTACCACCTAGAGGACTACTGTTAATATGCCAGTAATTTCTGCAAAAATGCAATGTATAGTTAGAGAAGCAAGGGGAATTTCCTTATACCCCTGCCCCACTCATTCCACGCCCTATTCACGAGGACTAGAGCATGGTATACACCTCCCACTTAAGTAGGCTTTTGTTGACAAAGATTTATCTGTCCAGAATTTTGACAAATTGTATTCATAAGCATAAATCTAAGCCACCCAGAGAATACTGGTTGAAATTGTTCTAGCACTCCATTAAAGTTTTTTTTTCTTCAAATTTTAGGCATAAGTCCTTGTCCTAAAAGCTCTACTTCATGTTTGTGTTTGTATAAGAACCTAAGATGCTTCTTTTAACTGTGTTTACTGTTATTTATTTGTCTCCAAGCTCATGTATTTTTAACTTACAATATTTCTTTGGGGATAATAATGTTCCACACACATGCATGTGAAAGCGAGAGCAGACTTTGGGCGGCTGTGTCTCTCTCCACCATGGGCTCTGGGGACTGAGTGCTGGTCAGCAGGCTTGGCAGCGAGCACCTTTACCCACACTGAGACATCCAACCTATTCTCACTCATTCCTTTTGTTTTAATTGTGTGTGTGTTTTAATGCACCAAAGATAACCTTAAAGGTACCAAAATGTGTTGATGTTGCATAAGAATGAAAACAAAACACTTCATTTTGTATTTATGTGACTAAGAACAAGACCAAATTTGAATTCTCCACTATTCTCCTCATATCTTCTCTCTGTCGCACTTTGTGGTTACTGGTCAATCTGTGTTCTGCTGTTGTACATATTTGTGCCTGCCTAAAGTCTGACTATCTCTTATGCCTGTCTGTCCCCTAACAAGGAACTTGGGCCTGGATTTACTGAACTACACCAAAACAGCATGAGAAAGGGACAGGGATTCCTTTATAGAAGAAATCTTTTTTTTTTTTTTTTTTTTTTTGGTTTTTCGAGACAGGGTTTCTCTGTAGCTTTGGTGCCTATCCTGGAACTAGCTCTTGTAGACCAGGCTGGCCTTGAACTCCCAGAGATTATAGAAGAAATCTTTAACAGAGTTCTATAAGGGGAGTCATTTTACCGCCCCTAAATCATTCAGACAAACAATAGCTATATGTTTTTCCAACATTTATGGTGAATACTTACAAGGTTGCTTCTGACCTGACCTGTTGGCTGCTTTCAGCAGATAGTTAGTTACCATGGCACACACATGCATGCACACACACTCTATCTGGGTTAGGGGCATGGAAGAGGATGTAACTTAAGATGGAAGCCATGAATTAGCCTTGGCTGCAAAGACTGACTGCATGGGAAATCCAAGGCAAGGTTGGTTGTTATGAAGCTCTCTTAAAGGCAGGTTAAACACAGTAGGAACCGATCATGTTAAGTTGGCTTTTTGTCAGTTTCACACAGGTTAGAGTCACTTGGGAAGAGGGAACCTCCACTGAGAAAATGCCCCTCCAGAATGGTCTGTGAACAAGTCTGTGGTGCATTTTTCTTGACACGTGATTAATGTAGGCGAGACCATCCCAAAGAGTGAGGGTTACAAAACAGGTTGAGCAAGCCATGCAAAGGAAGCCAGTAACCAGCATTCCTCCTTCAGTTCCTGTCTTGAGTTCCTACCTTAACTTCCTTCAGTGATGAAGTGTGACCTGGGAGTTTTAAAATGAAATAAACTTTTTCCTCTCCAAGTAAAAGGTTTTGCTTTTGCCATGCTGCTTTTCCACAGCAATGAAAATCCTAACTAAAATGAAGATAAAGCTTATGTGATCTCAAGGTGTATCATGAACTTGGCTGTGAGGTCCAGCAAAAATTCAGTTTCTCTGGGTGCAAGAAATATTTCCATCAAGTTATAGCACTAAAATAGCATATCATAATCTTTTTCACAATAAATAAAATGTCGTAAAAATACAGTTTAGTCACACTCGGTGACAACTAAGTAGAAGCACAATCTCCTTCACACTAACCACCCAGGCAGAGGAACAACAAAAGTCCTGGCTAGTGTGAGCATTTTACCTTGTGTACTCTTCCTGTAACTGACCAGGGTCTGGCGGGAAAAATTTTACTGCTAGACGAAGCACTGCATTCTTTGGCCCTTAAAAATAAAATAAAATTTCACTGATAAGGTTAATCTCCATATTTATTTTCTTTCTATAATAAAATTTTAAAGAAAGTTCCTATGCACACATTTATGAGTACTTTCTCAATACACATGGATTGAGAAATCTTAATATTTTGCTTTAAGCAGAGATTACTCCGAAAACATTCTAAAGTAGGTGGGAAATTACAGATTAAAACTTTAAAATTAATGCCAGGCATGGTGGTGCTCACCTTTAATCCCAGCATTTAGATGGCAGAAGCAAGTAGATCTTTGTGAGTTCAAGGCCAGCCTGGCCTACAAACTGAATTCTAGGCCATCTGGGGTTAACAGTGACACCCTGCCTCAAAAAGAAAAAGAAAACAAGCTCGAGGGGACATAGTGAGTTGGTAAAGTATGTGTCTATGATACACAAGGCACTGGGTTCCATCCCCAAGACCACATAAAAACCAAGTGTGGTATATATGCCTGTATTCCCAGCACTAGAGACAGAAGGACCAGGAGTTCAAGGTCATCCTTGGATACTTAGCAAATTTGAGGCCAGCTTGGCCTCAATTTTTGAGAGACAATTTAAGATTGTCTCTCAAAAAAAAAAAAAAACCAACAAACAAACCAAAACCCACTGAATTATAGCCAGGTATGGTGGCTCATGGCTGTAACCCTGGCACTGGGGAAACTGAGGCAGTAGGACTGCTGGGCATATGAAGCAATCCTAGGCTACACAGTAAGTCTAAGGTAGCCTGGGCTACAGGGTAAGACCCTGGCCCTGAAAACAAAAGCAGCATCAACAATCAAATTTTTAAAAAAATATATGGGCCAGGAGTGATGTAAGATCCCCAGTACTTAGAAAGCTGAAGCGGGCGGCAGGGGTGGGGTGGGGTATCATGGGTTCAGGACTAGTCTGAGCTATAAAGATGGACCTTGTCTTGAAAATGAGCAAACACATAGAATAAAATAAATTTCTGTTTACATTTTAGGGTAAAATTATATTAAGATGCTTATAGCATTATATTGTGGTAATAAAAACACATCCTTATATACATTAGAGAGAGAAAACATCACTGGCACTTACTAACCGAACTAGAACAGTCTGACTCTGCAAAAGGCACCAGACACAGCAGATCTGATGTCTGTGCCACTGGAATTCAACAGCTGGGCTGTACAGTTGTTAGGGAAAGAGGAGGAAGTTGGCTAAAACACTATGGTAACATCAACAGCCTTTTCTTTTCTGCATGAGTTACTTCTATGTATCCTTCTTTCAATGTAGTCACTTAAAACAGGTGTAGTCAATGACAGCACATGCATTAATCCCTTCTCTTGGGAGGCTGATGCAGGGGGATCGTGACTGCAAGGGCAGTCTGGAATTTGTGGAAAGAAGCTGCTTCCTCTCCCCACATCCAAAACCCAAACCAAGAAAACATGAAAAATCCCCAAGCCAAAAAGTTTGCTTTGTTAAGTGGTGGAGCTGCCTGGTGCCCTTGGAAAATGGTGGCAGGTCTCCTTGGGAAAGGGTTGCAGGTGGTTATAAGTGGGTCCTGTGAGGGCAAGTGCTCTTAACCACGGAAGCATTTGTCTTAAAAGAGCCCTGTCAATGTCTTCTCATGACTCAGAAGCTTCTTTTTCCCCCTAATATATTGAGCCACAGTTAAGATACCAAGCAATAAATCCTATGACTTTCAAATTTAAGACAAGTTATCTATGATGTTTTGAGTTAAATCTAGTGTTCTTATGCCTATTTATTGTAGTTTAAAACCAACCAGCAAAGTGACCTCAAGTTGATCCACTGTGACTATTACCACCTATCTAGGGCCGTGACAATGGCTGTGAACACACCTAGAATTCACTGTTCCAGAACAAGTCACCTTAAATGAGGAAGGTTTTTAAGAGTTAAACAAGGGGGGCTGGAGAGATGGCTCAGAGGTTAAGAGCATTGTCTGCTCTACCAAAGGTCCTGAGTTCAATTCCCAGCAACCACATGGTGGCTCACAACCATCTGTAATGGGGTCTGGTGCCCTCTTCTGGCCTGCAGGCATAGACACAGACAGAATATTGCATACATAATAAATAAATAAATAAATATTAAAAAAAAAGAGTTAAACAAGGTACTTACTTCGCACTTGCCTAATGATGGGCTTCATGGGCTCAAGCCAAATCTAAACAGGGTTTTTAATAGAAGAGAATAAAACTATTAAAAATCTCCTCATTTAGTAAGTATGCTACAAAATACAAATAATTAGATTTTATGACAGGATTTTTATTTTGTTCTCTTATACATTCATCATATCTTAATAAGTTGTACAGAAAGCTCAGCAACACCTGCTTCAAGAAGCTGGAGCCGCATTGATGTGCTACAACTCCATTACATTCATTTGGGTAACTCTACAGTCTCAACCAGAACCAGCGGTGCGCAAACAGCAACCTGATGTGGTGCTGCTATGTGAAAGGTGTCTGCTGTGCACCGGAGCACAGCACAGCAACGACACATTTTCTGATCTAAAGGGCTGATGAGTTGTTTTAAAAACAAGTCACATCTATAAATAATAATAATAATAATAATAATACACCACACATTTTACAATTTGTCTAATAAGTAAAATGATGCAAAAATCAGTCCACTTTGCTCAAAATCCACCTGCAACACAATTCATATTCAGCAGGATGCATCAGTGGTTGCCATGGCAACTCAGGTTTCCTTGGCACAGGTGCTAGTGGGTGGAAGTTTAGGGAGGCTATGCATTTAGGCTTAAAGGCAGATGGGCTCTCCATAGCTGAAAACCAAGTACTTTAATATCATAGCTTTGCTTGGCGGTGGTGGTGCACGCCTTTAATCCCAGCACTCGGTTGGCAGAAGGCAGGCGGATCTCTGAGTTCGAGGCCAGCCTGGTCTACAAGAGCTAGTTCCAGGACAGGAACCAAAAAGCTACAGAGAAACCCTGTCTCGAAAATAAAAAACAAAAACATAGCTTTCCTAAGAATAATATGTCATTATGCCATTTACCAAACAACTTGTTTACATCATTACAGTATGACCTAAAATGCTCTGTACATCCGAGACACCATGACTATTCTACAACACAGTCAGACCCAGTTTCCAAAAGCAAATGAAAAGCACATACCCAGTAGGACTGGACGTTCTTAAACTCCAGACCAAAGTAGTCACATTCAATCAGGTTCAAACGCTTCCACACTTGTGTCAGTAAGACCTGTCCATCACACTTAGGCTGCAAGGAGACAGGAGAGAAAAAGCTCACTGATTGGACAAGAACAAAGGTACGTAAAAGCTCACATAGAGTCACTGAATTTCTTGCTTCATTTTGCTTTTGTTGTTATAAGATTCACAAACTACCACATAGCAAATAAACAGATCTTGTACTTAGAAACTAATAGCAAAATAAATATGCAAACAAAAACTCTATCTTATAGTCTCAGTGTGTTTCAGTCATCTTTCTTTGTGACTGTAGACTACAAAAATCATTTCTAGTCTCAGTTAACATTTTATCAAATAATTTACCACATAATTTACCAATAAAAAGCAGAGTTCCAAGGTCTATTTATGTAGTGTTCCAGTGAATATTTTGCTATTTGACAGTATTCACATGCTCTGTAGTCTGGCTGTTTTGGAACTAACTCACTTTGTGGACCAGGCTGACCTTGAACTCAAAGATCCACCTGCCTTTGCCTCCCCAGAGCTAGAATTAAAGGCATGTGCCACCACTTTCTGGCTGAAAAAAAAATTTGAATAGAGAGATGTTGAACAAATTACAACAATCTAGAATCACACTGAATTACTATAATTTATCTTCTACCCAAACATAAGCTTAGAAAGAAAAACAAATGAAGTTTAGAATTAATAAATTAGTCCCAGGATAAATTAAAATTGCTTCATGTGGATATCAGAGGACAACTATGAGGAGCTGGATTCTCTTTTCACCTTACATGGCTTCCGTGGGTCGCGAGGATTGAACTTAGGCTGTCAGACACAAGGCTACCTTATTGGCCATATTTCAAAGAATTGGGGGTGTGGGGAGCATGATGCTGCATACCTGTAATTCCAGCACTCAGGAAGCAGAGCCAGCCTGGTCTACATAGCGAGTTCCAAGTAAGCCAGGGTTACATAGTAAGACTGTTATCTCAAAAACAAACAACAACAAATCCAACAAAATAACAACAAAAATCTTTAATATTATTAATAATATGTGTAACCCTTGAGGAGGAAATTTGAAAATAATTTTCAGTTTAATATGTATTTATGTAGGTCCACTTCCAGAACCTTTCCATGCAGACCATCTCATAAATTGCACAAAGCTGATTACACAGGACAGAACCACAAGAGGACTGGCCAGCAGAGAAACTGAAGCAAGCGCACGGCTGTAATCCGAGCACCTGGGGAGGCTACTGAGTCTGAAACTGGCCTGACAGACATGGTAAGTTCCCAGGTAAGCTTGGCTCAAAAACAAACAAACAAAAAAACCCATAAAACCCAAATAAATAATAACACAACCATGATGAAAAGAGAACACTGAGCTCTTTATACACTATGGAATAAAGTACAAAGCATACAGATAAGGTAAGAGGAAAATTAAAGTTCTCTATGTTCATAGAGTCCATATAATATGATCCTGTCTTATATATAGCACTTATAAATTGATAAATAATAAATTTGGAAGTTGCACACCAAATCTTTAAGAAAATTATCATTATTGTACTAGATAGAGACAGAAAGAAGCAACACTTTATTTCTTTATTTCTGAGATGTTAGATCAAGGTGTTGGGCAATCTTTTCTTCTGTTAAAAACATACAAGAAGGAGGAGAGGTAAACTTTCTGGGTTCCAAAGTACACCATGCCCCTTTAAGTTTACTTAGGAGACTGTCTGTGTAACCAGTGGTAATGCTCTTCAGGAGAAAAGCTATTTGAAGGAACAAACTCCTAAAATTCATAATAACAAAGAATCACAGAGTAAAAATATACAGTGTATATCTTAGCAGAAAAGAAGGCCTATAGTGTGAACATACAAGTGTCTTTTCTGGAAGTTGGGGGGCAAAGTCTCCCTATGTAGTTCTATATGGAACTTGCTATATTGAACAGGCTGGCCTCAAACTCATAGTGTTCTCTCTCTCTCTCTCTCTTTCTCTATCTTTCTCTCTCTCTCTCTCTCTCTCTCTCTCTCTCTCTCTCTCTCTCTCACACACACACACACACACACACACACACACACACACACACACACACACAAAATCTTACAATCTTGAGTTCTGTGATTATAGGTGTTTTTGTTGGTTGTTTTTAAGACAAGGTCTCACCATGTAGCCCTGGCTGGTCTGAAACTTGCCATCTGAACCAGAGATGGCTTTAAACCCAGAGATACAAATGCATTTTAAATATATTCTTTAAGAATTCATATATGTGGGCTGGGGAGATGGCTCAGTGGGCAAAAAAGGATCTTGCTGCTAAGCCTGAAGCATGCTTAGAAGCCACATGCTTGAAGGAGAGAACTCACCGTGTAAGTTATCTTCTGGTCCCCACATGTGAACTGTGGCACAAGTGTACCACCCCCAATAAATGAAGACTTCCCAATTTATCATCCTCCCTTGATAAATTGCCATATTATTTTTAAAAAAATTGTTGGCCCAGTGGTGGTGGCACACGCCTTTAATCCCAGCATTTGGGAAGCAGAGGTAGGCACATCTCTGTAGTTCAAGGCCAGTCTGATTTACAAGAGCTAGTTCCAGGACAGACTCCAAAGCTACAAAGAAACCCTGCACTGGTGTGAAGGTGTCAGGTCCCCTGGAACTTGAGTTACAGTTGTGAGCTACTCTGTGGGTGCTGGGAACTGAACCCAGCCGGGACCCCTGGAAGAACAGCCAGTGCTCCTAACAGCTGAGTCATCTCTCCAGCCCTGATGCAACTCACTGAGCCTAATTAGTGCTGACTATATAGTAGAGATGTATAAGGCCTGGCTTCTCAGAGTCATCAGTGTCTTAAAAGGGCTTGATGTGAGTTCCTGAGTGTAAGGGCCATGCCATCTCCAGAGGACAGTGTTTCACTGCCAGCCTTCCTGCCTCTAGCTCTTATATCATTACCAGTAAGTCTCTGCACTGTTACAAACACAGTTTATAAATAACAGGAGAGCAGACATCGGTAAATCACCCAGACATTCTCTCTTGTCACCTCATGTGATGGGCTTCTCCTAGGAGGCTTGCCAATGCTTTGTGCTTTGAAAGACACGCCCCACCAGGTCTATACTTCTCAAGCTAAGCAATCAACCCCCAGGGTTGTTAAACAGTTGGAAGTCACAGAAGTCAAATCCCAGAACCATTCCAGGGAAACTTCTCAGAAGCTATGGTCACCAGGATGACCACATGGGACATTCTCTCTCTTAGTGCCCCCTGTTTCCTGAACTGTCAAGTTCAAAACTAAGGGTGAAATGGGAGGGGGGTGCTAGGTACACCCAAGTACTGCTTTAGAGGAAACTCACTTCATTCTGTCAGAGTTCCCCCCGACAATCTAAAACACAACCAACCTACCAATGAATCTCAGTCAGTTCTACCTCTCATACTATTTGGTAGTGACTCTAGCAAGATGAACATGACACTGATGTCTACCAACTTGTTTGGTAGTTCTTTCCTCTAGACAGTCAATCTGAAGAGCAAATGGCAACTCCTAAACATGCACAACTGTTTAAGGTTTGGATGGTAGCTGTAGTCTGAGATAAATCTTATTTCAGGTGGTACAGAAAGGAGGCAGTTCATTCCTCAGCCCCTCTTCCTTCCTCTTCTACTCTGTGTGCAAGCAGGGAGCGTGACCTGGGCTTGCCCACCAGACCAGGTAAGGCCCCATGACAACTACAGAGATATTCAGGAGCACACTCAGGATGGACCTTAATATCTAGTAGGTCCTATACCTACTTATATGTATTTTTATTAACACACATATGTGCCTGTGAGAATGTAGCCTCTAAAACTATAGTTTTACTAAACAAAGTTTTCTCAAGTTTAAGTAACAAAAGAAATTTCACATCTTTTGAGTCACTGAAATCAGACTTCAGTCCAAAAATACTACCATATTCATGAGTTTTCACAGCTACAAAAAAGAGACATTTTCAAAACATTTCTTCAAAGCATTAGAGTAGGGGTAATATTTCCAAAACTTGAACACACACAAACATATCCTCAAAGAAAAATTCAATTTTATTGGTATTAATAAAAATATCCTTAGTGTGGCTGGAGAGATGGCTCAGAGGTTCAGAGCACTAGCTGCTCTTCCAGAGGTCCTGAGTTCAATTCCCACTAACCACAGGGTGGCTCACAACCATCTATAATTTGATCTGGTGCCCTCTTCTGGTATGTAGGCAGAACTCTATATATAATACATAAATAAATTAAAAAAAATCCTTAGTAAAATGTAGGCAAATACAAGTCAGTTAACAATGAAAAGAATTCTATCATAACAATGCAAAGTTTATTCAAAACTTTTAAGAATAGTTGAAATCAATGCTAGGAAATTTAGTAATGTATTATATCAATAAACTTGCAGGAAAAAAAATCATATTACTGGGTTGGGCATGATGGCTTAGTGGACAAAGTGCTCACTGTGCAAATTGAATCCCACAGTAAAAGGTCATAACTGACTTACACAAGTTGTCTCCTGATCTCCATACATATGTAGCCAAGATGGCAGAGGAAAAAAATCTTGACCTCCTGAGCTTCTTGACTCTACCTCCAAAGTACTGGGATCATAGGTTCGCACCACCACATGCCTCCTCAATTTCTATTCTTTTTTATCTTTATTTTTAATATTTATTTATTTATTACACAATATTCTGTCTGTGTGTATGCCTGCAGGCCAGAAGAGGGCACCAGACCTCATTACAGATGGTTGTGAGCCACCATGTGGTTGCCGGGAATTGAACTCAGGACCTCTGGAAGAGCAGTCAGTGCTCTTAACCTCTGAGCCATCTCTCCAGCCCTCAATTTCTATTCTTGACATAAATTCTGCTATGCTGTTTTGTTTGTTTGAAACCAAGTCTCTCTATATAATTCTGGTTGGACTGGAACTTGCTATGTAGACAAAGCTGGCCTCAAGTTCAGAGACCTTCCTGCCTCTGCCTTCTTGCGTGTTTGGTTTTTGAGACTGAATCTTGCTATGTATTAAAGACAAGCCTCAATATGGCATCGATCCTCCAGCCTCAACCTTCAAAATGCTAGGTTTACCACTATGCT